CCACAAGGCGCTGCCTTCAAGGAAGTGATTTTTTTTTTCAGCTTTAATTGAGTTTATTGGTACATTTTAGGGATAAAGTACAGTTACATTCATTGTTGGGATCTTGTACCTCTACATGACAAGTCTTGGTTCTCATTTTTTCCCCTTACCTCTGAAGGAAGTGATTTTTATTCCCCAACTTATTAGCAAGTAGGAAGATTTAAATGATAGATCTAAGTGACATCATTCCAAGGGCTCCAGGGATTCTCCATCGTACCGAACAAGCTGTTCTCATTTTAACACTTCAAGAATTACCAATGAGATTGCACTTTTAAAAAAGTAAGTGAAATAACCGTTACTTTTCTTAAGGTCATAATGGTATCTAGACAAAGTAGGAAATTGTTCTTATTTGAGAAAGGTATATACTGATAACTGGGTGGGATGGAGCATGCCTATAATCCCAGAATTCTGAGAGGCTAAGGCAAACGAATCACAAATTCCAGCTTAGCTGGGCCATTTACTAAGACTCAAGACTGTTCCAACATGGAAAAAAAAATGTAAAGGTCTAAGAAGGTAATTCGGTGAGAAAGCCTTGCATTAAATCTTCAGTACTGCAAACAAACAAAAGCCATATATATATTTTTTTACTATTATATATTTATATATTTTCATTTTTATTTTTGGTGCCGGGAATCAAACTGGGGACCTTGGGCTTGTGAAGCAGGTGGTGGAACCACTGAGCCAAATCCCCAGCATTTTAAGGTGGCAATTTGAAATAATTCAACAAAATGAGCAAATCACATCTTTTATAACTACTCTCTGTGCAGCTACATACTCTGGCTGTATGAGAAGCTTTAAAATTTTTTTCAATTGACAGAGAAATGCCTCTTATAAGACGGCACTTATAGAAGGAATCTAAAAAAGTCAAACCTCAAAAGACAGAAGAATGGTGGTCACCAGAGGCTAGAGAGAAAATGGAAATTTAAGCCAAAGGGAACAGAGTTTCAGTTAGAGGGAGGAATCATCTTTTGAGAGCTATTTTACAGCAGGGTGACCATAACTCCCAACAATATAGTGTATACTTCACTGAAGAGCTGCTGGATGGCATCATAATCGATAGAGGTGCCAGGAGCAGGTATATGAGAAACAAAAGGACAAAATGAACTAGAGGTTTGAGTAAAACAGATCCTTTCATGTTGGTTTGTAAGAATCTGTAGAATATCCAGGTAGAATTGTCCTTCAAACCCTTATACACATGATTTCAGAGCACAGAAGGGAGGTAAACATAAAGATGAAGACACCAGTCACAAGCAATTCAGGCAGTATGTGAAGTTCTTAGAGACCACGTGACAGTTCCTTCATCAGACAGAGATGACAGGGAAATAACAGCTGAGGAACCATGGATATCAGAAAGGCTTCCAGAAAATGTGCAGGTCACAAAGCCAGAGAAGTTTTTCTGAAAAGTAGTAACAGAAATAGGAGAAGATAGAGGCTCAGAAAGTAAGAAAAGGGACATTTTCTACAACAAAAGCTTTGAATATTACAGCTAACAAGTGACATTTGTAAGAATGGTAAAGGTGCATGAATACCCTTCAATGAGAAGCTGCAAAAACTGTCAAATCACTCTTTCCAAGATGCTATAAGCAAACTAAAATCTTGCTGCAATGTAAAGAACAGCTGCACAAATCAGCCATATCATAATAAGAACGCTGATTCTGTATCATTTTTAACTTGATCTGTTCCCCCAGTTCCACACTAGCTTTAGGTAAGAATCAGCACCTGAAAGAACAGTGGAAATCAACAATCAGGCAAGGAGGAAGAAGCAGACTAGGGCTAGAGTTCTGTCAAAGCCTCACTCTCAGTATTCTGTGTCTACAGGCCCTGTGCAGTCATTGGCTGGAAGGCCTCACCTACAAGGCTGACCATCTGTGTTAACTCAAGTATCCCAGGGTTAAAAGCCCTACCCTATGGGGCAATGTCACAAGTGTTTCAGGGCATTGTTTCACTGACCAGCTCCCTGAAAAGGTTGAGTAACAATTAGTGGAAAACAATGGTACAATGAAAAAGCTGGGGGGAAGAAAGAGGAATGAGATGCGCTTAAAAGTTCTGAAAAGCTCACATGTTTCTGAGAATACAGTAGGCCACCTACGTGCACATAACTGAGTAAAGCTCAGGGCTATGAGTACACGCATGACAGACACAAGTTCCTAAGTGGAAGGTTGGGCAGGAGGCCTGACCTGCAATGTCATGTGGGCTCCAGGCCAGCCCCTCTCCCAACCTGAAGCCACGGGCTCTTGGTTAAATGAATCAATGGATGGTTGTGAAAACTTGGACACATTTATTGGCAGTTGATCCTGATAGAGAAAACTTCTGTAAATAGTCTGAAACCAACAAAATGTTACAGAAAATATAGAGTAACCGTTGTCTTCTGCTTCTGTAATTTGCTTTACTTTGCTTAACAAAACACCCAAGGTTTCACCACTGAAACTTAAAGGCACATAGCCCCAGTTTAAAATTAACAAAGGCTAGAGGCGCTTAGCCACATCCCAGCATGAGACCAGACGTTCAAGCTAAGATAACAGTCCCTGAGCCATAAAGCTTTCTGTAAACCATATGACTATAAAGGTGTTAAGATGAAAAGAATGTCACCAGTCCTGCTTTCTTGACCCTGACCCCCACTCTTGTGGCCTGGAATAGCTAAAGATAAACATCCTGAAAGAAATTGCTACATTTGGGTTAACATTAAAACTGTCTTGTGACCATGTTTCTGATGGGAACTGTGGGAACTAGGATGTCTTATCACCTAAAATGAGGTCATGATTAGAGAACTCCTATAAAAGGCAGATTGTAGTCCAGCTCAGGGTCGGTCATTTGGCACAGCCTTTGACGCAGGCCGAACCTTTGCTAGCAAAGTAAACATTTTTTTTAACCCACTTCTGCTTCTTGCGTCATTTACCAGTTCCTTCCCCAACAATCTCACTCTCATTAGTGAGAAAATAATAAAAATGGTTAGTTTCACTAAGACAGACAAAGTCATGAAAAATTGGGATCTGTTTGGAGGACAGTAGCAGCTGAACATTGACCTAAAAATTAAATTCCTTTGCTCAATTATTCTTGAAATACAGTGATTTCACTTGCATTTAGGCCTAACTTTTATTTTTATCAAAGTAGATAAAATGAAGAATTATTGAAATCAAGTCCAGATATCTCTTATCTCATAACTGAGAAACAAATGACTTTTTTTTTTCTTTTGAAAAAGTGCAAGGACCCGAGTTCGATTCCCGGTACCAAAAACAAAAAAAGAAAAAGAAAAAGCAACCTTTTCAAAAATGTGTGTGTTACATTTATTTAAATAATGGGTAAATGATAACTGCATTTATTTGCCTTAAAGCTTCAAGCTACAGATGTGGCACTGCTTTTAATTAAGAGACTACATATAATGCCTTCCAAAATGCATAGAGATATACTGTGTGTCTGTGTGTGTTTGTGTGCATGCACATGCACGTGCATGCATCCATAAGCAAAGTGCAGGAGAAAGAAAGTCAAAGGGAGAAGCAAATGTTTCCAGGTACAGAGCTTTATCCCCACAGCTGTGCAGGTGAGCAGTGAATATCAAGGAGTGCTGTGGAGACAGTGGCTCTTAAAATGTGGCTGACCCTTGTCCTGACACTCTGCAGTCATGGAGAATCCTCCTGGACTGTCCTCAGGAGGCACAGGGGATGTGTGACACTGGACACACAGGTGGGAAGCCCCTCAGAGGCTCCAGGATGTCCGTAGGAAGCTTAGACTCAAGGACAGCTCTTGTTCTCTCCACTTTTCTAAGCAGTAACTTGATTTCAGAGGGTTCTGGTGTTTTAAAATCACCCAACTTCGGAGTCACTTAGGAGTGTGAACACCAGCATGAAGTCAGATCTGAGTTCTCATGAGACAATGGATACTTAGGATTAGGAATTTTCTTTTCATTAACCCAGTATAGAACTGAGATAGGAGACACCATCTGTAAGTGCAACAGAAGTCCACCCAGGGGACAGCAGTGCAGACACACAGGCCCCAGCCAGGGCCCCACACAGACACCAGTGGATTGGGCTTGCAAGCCCTAGCCATAGGCCCACCTGGAAAACAGCTCTGCAGACACACAGGTCCCAGCCAGAGGCCCACCCAGGTACCATTGGTAAGTGCATGCAGACCCCAGCCAGAAGCCTATCCAGATAACAGCCTAGTGCAGGGGTCCAGAAAGCCATCATTCTGAATCCAGGAATTGGTACAAGGGTGAGCACTAGAGAGAAAG